AATTTCCTCTGCCTGGCAACCATGACCTCATTCCAATAGCCGATCAGGTTAGATTGTGAAGCCACACTCCCCCTGGGGAGCGGGTGTAGGTTTAGGTTTACAGATGAAGGCACAGGTGGGATAAAGAGCAGAGCTTGAGTTCAGACCCCCTTAGTCTCCTCCTGTCTCCCAGTAGGTGTCGTCACAGACCATCAGGCGGAAGCAGTGGAGCCTGTCGTGTCTCTTCACACCAGTGACACCTGAAGCGTAGTGCGCGTGTGAGGACAGGAGACGGGGTGTAAGGACAGAGTACTGTGGGTAGTGCCATTCATTCTGCTCGGGCTTGGCGCTCGTGTGGGCTCCGTCCGCCCGTCCTGGTGCCTTGTGATTCAGGAGCTCATATGTGCAGCGCACCTGCTAAGTAAGCCAGGGGTTGTCAGGCCTTGGTGATTGTGCAGATCCGAAAACGTGTGAATGTGTCTGAGCTTTCTTGTCAGAATCACGATCCAGAGCGTGAGCAAGATTTACGGCGTCGGTAGAGGTCGAGGATTTGTTCAAGGCGACATAACACGCAGGACAGCCCTTAAAACCCTGAAATACGGGCCCTGAATATCACTAGTGCCCTGCTTGCGGGTGTGCCTTCTTTGCACACTTGGACCCTGCTCAGCACGACCGGCTCCTACACCACAGCTTCGTGTGTGGTGTTTATGCTGTCCGCAGACCCTGGAGGCTCAGGAGCTCTGGACGTGTGCTCCACCACTCAGTACGCGTCCAGCTCGTGCACATTAGGGTTCCTGCACCCGAACGGGAGTGTGTTAGAGAGGTCATCCTGCGCTCTGATTCACTCACTCAGTGTGTTTTCCAGATTTATCTGCATGGCTGTCCATGGAACTCCGACGGGGTTTCTGCTGTTTGTGTCCATAACATCTTTGGCTTCCCTCAGCTAGGGGAAAGCAGGCTCGTCTGCTTCTGTCACTGGTGTCAACGCCGCAAGCACATTCATTTGCCGCCCTAGAAGCATTTGAGAAAATGCCTTAGATGCTCGGGGCTCCGGAGCCTATTTGCTGGTGCGCCAAGTATGTATCCACTTAAATCTGAACGTGAGTCCTGCAGCCGTCCACCGTCGGTGGGCTGTAGCTCCTGTTTCTCATGGCCAGCCGACGCTGGGCTCTTTCTAGTTTGATGAGTTTCATGGATTCATTGGGAAGTTTAATTGTGTCTTTTCACTTTTTCTGTCTTTCCTGTCTCCATTTTATACATTCTCCTCTAATTTCTTGTCTGTACTCTTCTATAAAAAAGAACTTTTATCGTACTCTCATATTTGCGTCAAGGAATTCTTTTATGAAATCTTTGTTCCTGGAATCTTGTTGTCTCTTGTAGAGAGTCAACATTCTTTCTCATAATTGTTCCATCTGCATGTTAATTTCATCAAAGATTTTATTTCCTGAACAGAAATCCTAAGTTATTTTTTGTATCTTCAAAGTCAACTAATCATTTTTGGCTGAGGAATTTAGCACCATAAAGGGATGATTTGTACTCTTGATCTGTAGTGCCAAGCTCAGCGGATCTCAGTGTGTTTAAAGCAAATGTAAAACAAAACAAAAAAATAAATAAATAAAGCAAATGTGTTTCTGGTGCTGCTCATGCATGAGTGTGCCTAGCTCTCGTGTGCGTGTCAGGCGTGGGTGACTGTGCCTGTAGAGCGTGTTCCCGACAGTGGGAAAGGACATCTCTGTCTCTTCAGTTTTTTTTGTTTTTTTGAGATTTGAAAAGGTTAACACTGTCCTTTGTTCTTCAGAAGGAATACTAGTAAACAGTTGTTTAATGTAGAGTTGTTTTAGTTGTATTAAGCATATATCGCTGTGGTAGGATTCTTTTAATTCTTTGGAAAGATACCCAGCAGGGGAATGACCGGGTAAAATGGGACCCTAGTCCTAGTGTCTTGAGGCGTCTCCATATTGACTTCCACAGTGCTTGCACCAGTCTGTACTCCACCAACAGTGGAGAAGGCCTCCTTTCTCCCCACAGCCCCGCCAGCATTTGTTATTGGCTGATTCTTGATAGCAGCCGTTCTTTGTGGGGTGAGGTGGAATCTCAGTGTTGTTTTGTCTTCTGAATGACCATTGATGTGGAACATATTCTCATATGTTTATCTTCTGCTTTTACTTGTTGGTCTGAGAAATGTCTGTTCATTTCTCATTTTTGTTTTGTTTGTTTTTCATTAAGCTAACGGGTACATTCTAAGTGTACAATATGATGACATTCCTCATTGGGAGTTTTCACCTTTACATGATGTATCTTGGTTTTTATTTTTTCCCCAATCCCCTGCCCTCCCTTCCATCCTTCCACCCCTTCCTATTTACAATGACTTTATTTTCGTTTTTTCCTTTTCTCATATTTTTTCCTTTCCCTTTTTTTAAAGATGTGTTAGGTACATTTATTAACTCCCCATGATGAATGTAGTCATTATGTATTTTTAAACATGTACTAATAAAAATTAAAAAATTTAAAGTCTCTTCCACATTAAAAAAGAGCCATGTCCTTCCTTATCTGCTTTTTTTTTTTTTTCATTAAGTTTTTTGGTACATTTAAGGCAAACGATACAGTTACGTCCGTCATTGGGATCTGGTGGTACCTTTACATGATGTATCTTGGTTCTTATTTTTTCCCCATTCCCCTGCCCTTCCTTAGCCCTCTTCACCCTTAACCTATTTACAAAGACTTTGTTCCTATTTTTTCCTTTTTTCAGATGCCCATTTTTGAATTGGGTCTTTATATTTGTGTGTGGGGATCTGATTATTTTTAAGTTCCTTATACTCTAGATAGTAGTCCTTTGCCTGAGGAACCACTGATAAAAATCTCTTCCCACATTGTAGGTTGTCTCTTAGCTTTGTTGGTGGTTTGTCTTGCAGTGCAGAAGCTTTTAAATAAGATGAGATCCCAGGTGTTGATTCTTTGTGCTAGTTCCTGAGCTTTTGTTCATAAAGTCTTTTCCTGTGTCAGTGTCTCAAGAGTTCTACCTAACTTATCTTCTAACAAATTTAGTGGCTCTGTTTTAATAGTTAGATCTTTAATCCACTTGGATTTTAGCGTAGTTCATGGTGAAAGATAGGGGTCTAGTTTTAATCTTTGGCAGGTTGAAGTCCAATTTTTCTAGCACCATTTGTTAAAGAGGCTCTCTTTCCTCCAGTGAGGATGGTTGGCTCCTTTGTCAAAGATGAGTTGCCTGAGTATGTCTGGAGTTGTTTCTGCATCTTCTAATCTGTCCCACTAATCCTTGAGTCTGTGTTTTGGTAGTGCCATGCTATTTTTATCATAGTGGCTTTGTAGTATAGTTTCAAGTTGGGGATTGTCATGTCTCTGTTGTCTAGAATTGCTTTAGCTATTCGAGTTCTCTTCTGGTTCCACATGAATTTTTGGATTGTTTGTTCTAGATCTGTGAAATGATACTGTTGGGATTTCAATTGGGGTTGCATTGAATCTGTGTAGCAGTTTGGGAAGTATGGCCATTTTCACTGTAGTGGTTCTTCCTACCCAGGAACAGGGGATGTCTTTCTGTTTTCTGATATCCTCTTTGATCTCTGTTTTCATTGTGCTGTAGTTTTCAACATAGAGGTATTTGAATTTCTTTGTTAAATTGATTCCTAGGTATTTATTTTATTGAATGCTATTATGAAAGGAATTGTTTCCCTAATTTCTCTGTCAGTGAGTCTGTTATTTGTGTAGAAGAAGGCTATTGACTTTTGAATGTTCACCTTGTATCCAGCTACTCTGCTAAAAGTGTCGATTAAGTCTAGACGTGTTTGGGTGGAGTTTTGGGGGTCTTCTGTGCAGTGTATCATATCAGCAAATTAAAACAGTTTAACTTCTTTTTTGTCTTTATTCCTTTTATGTCTTTCTCTTTTGTAACTGCTGTAGCTAATGTTTCCAGAATTATATTGAACAGGAGTGGTGACAGTGGACGTCTTTCTCTTGTTTTTTATTTTAGCATGAAAGTTTTCATTTTTTGACTCTTTAGTATGATGTTGGCTATTGTTTTTTCATAGATAGCCTTTATCAGTTTGAGATAGACCATCCATTCCAATTTCATGCAGATTTTTTTTGCAGGTTTTTAAAAATCCTAAATGGTGTTGGAATTTGTCAAATGCTTTTTCTGCATCTGTTGAGATGACCATATGGTTTTTGTCCTGGGCTCTGTTAAAATCCTTGGCTCTTTTGTGTAGACTTGTATCTTTATACATCCTGTGTATATGTGTAAGGTAGGGATTAGAGTATAATATGGAAAAATTATGGTTATATATGAATTGTTCCATGCAAATTCATGATAAACCTAATACCCAGTGGTATAGACTAGTAGATGGACACTCAGTGTTGTGTGTACTTACACGTGAGAACGTGATCTGAATAAATATGGACAGTTGGGGTACTTGGGAGCCAATCAGAAGTAAGTTTTGTTGGCATCCCTAGGATTGAACAGTGGAATTGAAACAGAGTGAGTGGAGATGAATTCATTAAGTAAGATATTTAGAAGAGCTTCTATATCTCTTTAGAAATTCACCTAATACATTTACTTTTTCACTTATACCAAGGCTATGAACACCTGATTTACTTTCTACTCTAAAATTTTAATATTCTGGCCTTTGTAAACAACTACATATTTGCACACTTTTTGTCTCTTGTGTTGTCATGGCATTTTCTAATTAATCCATAAAAGTAGGTATCAAAACCTCAAACCCTAGGGCCAGGCATTTAGGTTCCATCACCTGCCTTGCAAACACAGGGACCTAAGTTTGACCCGCGGTACCAAAAATAAAAAATAAAAACCAAAAACCTGAAACCCTTTTATGGAAGAAGAATTTTTTTTTTTCGTGGATGTGTTGCTTTTTTAGATTTCCTTAATCTAATTTTATTTTTCTTAGACATTCTCCAATAAGAACTGTATAATTTTTTGGGCCGAGGATTTAGCTCAGTGGTTCCAGGGCCTGCTTTGCAAGTGCAAGGACCTGAGTTTGAACTCCAGTATCCCCCCGCAAAAAAAGAACTGTAATTCTTTCCATTCATTTTCCAAATTTTTTAAAAAAATTTTGCTTAGTGCTCAATTAATGCTTTGTCTATGAAACCAGGTTGAAGTTTGAAACTATTGCCTAAAAAGAATCAGAGAAGTGAGGAATCCATTCCCTAAGTTAGTTTACGAAATGACATTTTGTATAATCCTCAGAATTACTTTTCTCATACTTATCTACCTTACTTTTTTCACTTGGATTCTAATTTTGTAGGCGCCTTCTGTGAACCATGCTTGAGAGACATTGTACAGAGAAACCTGGGCTGACCCGGGTTCCTGTTGCATGGTTGCTTTAGCAGTGAATTTGAATGTAACATAAAGGTCCCTATGTGATATATGCGTGTGGATGGTGAATAAGTGTTTCATGACTGAGACATGAAGGAAACATTCTGAAACCTCAGCCTCATATGGGCTGTGTCTGAGGAGAGATGAGATGTTCCATGTTGTGAATTTCATGCTTCTTCCTGGAAACACGTGTCTGATGATTTAGGAGGCACTGACCTTCGAGGATGTGGCTGTGAACTTCACCCAGGAGGAGTGGGCTTTGCTGGATCCATCCCAAAAGAAGCTCTACAGAGATGTGATGTGGGAAACCTTTAGGAACCTGGCTGCCATAGGTAAGGAAGATATCGTTTTCTCACGTACGCAGTCAGTGTTGGTTTGTGCTCAACAGTGCACTTTTCTTAATTGGAAGGTGGAAACGTTATAAGGCATCTTGTAGGCGTGTGCACATCTTTCAGTGACTAACTGGAATCTACTGAGTTTGGTATAACACAGTAAGTCATTATCATATTTCTGTTCTACACTTTAGGAAGACATTCAGATGACCAGCACATTGAAGATGAGTACAACACTTGCAGGAAAAGTCTAAGGTAATTTGCACTCACAAGAAGAATGCTCCTCAAGTGTCAGAATATGAAAACCAAGGCAACTACACAGACAGCACTTTGTTCAGATTTCTTTCTTTTCACAAACTTTCTCGAAGGACTTACCTGTATTGACCGTCTCTAATCTGACCATTGAGTATTTGAAACATTCCAATGTCTGAAACATAGGTGGAGCTGACATTATACCACAATGGGCATCTTCGACTCACGTAAAAGGACCAACCCCAGGAGTGGTGGCGCCTACCTGTAATGTCAGCGCTTGGAAGGCTGAGGCAGGAAAATCGGGAGACCTCTCGAGTTCATGTGCACCCCTGGCCACATAGTGAGTGGAAGGCCAAGCTCCGCTTCTCAGTGAGGCCCTCTCTGAAAAAGCAAACAGAACAAATGAATTATTTCCCTGATCAGAAGTGTCGATACATTAAAGGAGGCTGTATGTAGATATTCAGGACAGGGTTATGTAGACCAAAGTAGTGCTTACACTGAGACCAAGTTCTAATTATATGTACAGGGGTTTTTAAAAGACCACTTTCTTATCAGAAAAATTATATGTGATACTAAATATATTGAAATGTGATGGAAACATTCAGTATTTGAAAAATTGCAAGTTTTCTGGATGTATTCACAATCCAAATAAATGGTACTGTTTTTGTTCATAGTTATTTTCGAGCAGTCCTCCAAAGCACACAGTCCTTTCAAGTTCCAAAGTATTAGAAGACACATCCCCGTGTTATTGCTGGGACCATCCATGTGGCGTGACATCTACCAAAATGTGCATAGGGATTGCACAGAAAAGGAAAACTAGGAATTCCATTTTTTCCATCTCTAACTGTACTGTGTATGTTGCCCACGAAGTTGAAGTGCTCCTATCACAGTGATGCATACATACACCTGTGTAGCAGCACAAGTTAGAAAAGCTGAGCTCTGGAAACAGCCTCAGTACCCATTCACAGATGAGTTGCAGAAAATACAGGATAGCGGGGCATAAAGGGGAATACTTGGAATCCGGGCACTCTGGGAAGCTGAGGCAGGAAGATCATACATTCATGCTCAGCCAGGATAAACTTTTTTTTTTTGGTGGTACTGGGGATCAAACTTGGGACCTTGTGGTGGAAAGACAGGCAGTGGAACCACTGAGTTAAATAATTTAATTCTTGATGAGACTCAGAATCAAAATACAAAGGCTCATGGATGTATCTATCTCAGTGCTGAAACCCTGGGTTCAATTTCCAGCACTGATAACTGTGTGGTTCTATGCACAAGAGAATATTCATCCCATTGGAGAATTACACGATGTCATTGGCCAAAATATGGATGTATCTAGAGCCTGTAATGTTGATTCAATAAGTAAGACACAGAAATTTCAATATCACAAATTATATTGTGCATGAAAATGCTACAAATGAAAGAAGTGGTACAAGAAAAGAGAGATGGTGGACTAGAGACAGGCAGACCGAGGGGACATCAGAGCAGATCGCCTCATGGTAATTCATTACTACAAAGTCACTTTTAAATGTGATTGGTTGTTCTGTTACTTTTCCCTTTACAGAAGTTTAGAGGGAGAGAAATCCTGTCAATATAAATTACGGTACCAACGTGGAGAAATGGTTGTTTGGACTCCAGATACAAATGCGCACGTGAAACTCGGTGTAAATCAGGGTGAGAGCCTTTCCTGTAGAAGGCACGTGAGTGGTTATTCATCAGCAGATGGGCCCGTCATAGCTAACCCTGGACTCAAACCTTACGGGCAGACCGTATTTCAGGAGAAGCTGTCCAACTGTAACACACATGGGAAAACCTGCACAAAACTCCCATGTTTTCCAAAACATGCAAAGACAAGTCTTGGGGAAAAACCCCATGAACATATGCTACGTGGAAAATCCTTCTCTGATTGTACCATTGAAGAGAAGCCGTTTAGATATAAGCAAGATGTGAAATCATCCATTACATCCAAGGATGTTCAGATCAGGGAAGGAGGTCACAGTGAAGTGAATACGTATAGATGTCTATCACACGGAGAGAGCTTGAAGTCTCACCTTGATCTTCAGACACATGGAAAAGGTCACAATGGAGAAAAAACCTGTCCAGGTAAACCCTGTGAAAACTTATTTACTAACAAGGATTCATTTGATAATCATGAAACAACTCACATTGGGGAGAAACCCTATGTATGTAAGCAGTGTGGGAAAGCTTTTAGCTCGCGTGCTTATTGTCAAACGCATGAACGGACTCACACTGGAGAGAAACCCTATGTATGTAAGAAATGTGGGAAAGCTTTCAGCACACATGCTTATTGTCAAACCCATGAACAGAGGCACTATAAGGAGAAACCCTATATATGTAAGCAGTGTGGGAAAGCTTTCAGCACTCGTGGTGTTTGTCAAAGACATGAACGGACTCACACTGGGGAGAAACCCTATGTATGTAAGCAGTGTGGGAAAGCTTTCAGCACACATGTGAATTGTCAAACACATGAACAGACTCACACTGGGGAGAAGCCCTACATATGTAAGCATTGTGGGAAAGCTTTCACCACACATGCTCACTGTTACTCACATGAACGGATTCACACTGGGGTGAAACCCTATGTATGTAAGCACTGTGGGAAAGCTTTTAGCACAGGTAGAGATTGTCAAAGACACGAACGGACTCACACTGGGGATAAGCCCTATGTATGTAAGCATTGTGGGAAAGCTTTCAGCACTCATGGTGTTTGTCAAACGCATTTACGAACTCACACTGGGGAAAAACCGTATGTATGTAAGCAATGTGGGAAAGCTTTCAGCACAGTTGGAGATTGTCAAAGACATGAAAGGACCCACACTGGAGAGAAACCTTATGTATGTAAGCGCTGTGGGAAAGCTTTTAGTAGACACGGTAGTTGTCAAAGACATGAATGGACTCACGATGGGGAGAAGCCCTATGTATGTATGCAATGTGGGAAAGTTTTCAGTACACAGGCTCATTGTCTAAGACACGAACAGACTCACACTGGGGAGAAACCCTATGTATGTAAGCACTGTGGGAAAGCATTTAGCACACAGAGTTATTGTCAAACACATGAACGGATTCACAGTGGAGAGAAACCCTATATTTGTAAGCAATGTGGGAAAGCTTTTAGCACACGTGCTCATTGTCAGAGACATGAATGGAGGCACACTGGGGAAAAACCCTATGTATGTAAGCAGTGTGGGAAAGCGTTCAGCACACATGCTCACTGTCAAAGACATGAACGGATTCACACTGGGGAGAAACCCTATGTATGTAAGCAGTGTGGGAAAGCTTTCAGCACAGCTGGAGATTGTAAAAGACACGAGCAGACTCATGCTGGAGAGAAACCCTATGTATGTAAGCAATGTGGGAAAGCTTTCAGAACACAGGCTTACTGTCAAACACATGAAAGGACTCACATTGCAGAGAAACCGTATGTATGTAAGCACTGTGGGAAAGCTTTCAGAACACAGAGTTATTGTCAAACACATGAATGGACTCACACTGGAGAGAAACCCTATGTATGCAAGCAATGTGGGAAAGCTTTCAGCACATATAGTTATTGTCAAACACATGAACGAACTCACAGTGGAGAGAAACCCTATGTATGTAAGTATTGTGGGAAAGCTTTTAGCATGCATGGCTCTTGTCAAATACATGAACGGATTCACACTGGGGAGAAACCCTATGTATGTAAGCAGTGTGGGAAAGCTTTCAGCACAAACAAAGATTGTCAAATCCATGTACGGATTCACACTGGGGAGAAACCCTATGTATGTAAGCAATGTGGGAAAGCTTTCAGCAGACGAAACAATTGTCAACGACATGAAAGAAGTCATACCTTGCAGAAATCCCATGTATATAAACTGAGTGGCAGGGCATTTAGCACACACAGTTATTGTCAAATGCATGAACAGACTCACACTGGGGAGCAGTGTGGGAGAGCTTTCAGCACACAGAAATTGTCAAACACAAGGCTGGGGATTTAGCTTAGTGTTTCCACCGCCTGCTTCGCAAGCGCAAGGTCCTGAGTTCAATCCCCAGTACCCAAAAAAGAAAAAATGTCAAACACAAAGTCACAATGGGAAGAAACCCTATGTATGTAAGCATCGTGAGAACTTGGCACACATAGTCATTGTGAAACACATGAACGGACTCACACTGGGGAGAAAGCTCATGTATGTAAGCAGTATGGGAAAGCTTTCAGCACACAACCGTTGCCAACACTGATGGACACTGGCTAGATGCCGTATGTAAGTAAGCAATGTGTGAAAGCTTTCAGCACACCTGCTCTTTGTCAGACACATGAAGAGACTCACGGGGAAGAAACCCTTTGATGTATGTAAGCAACGTGGAAAAGCTTTCAGCATAGGTGGTATTTGTCAAACACATAGACTCGTAGTAGGAAGACCCTGTGTGTGTAAGTAGTGAGGGAAAGCTTTCAACACAAGTGCTGGTTGTCAAACTCATGGATATACTCACACTGGAGAAAGCCTAAGTAGTAAGCATTGAGAGACAGCTTTCCTCACATGTGGATGTTGTCAAACACATGAACAGATCGGAATTGTGCAGAAACCCCTATGTATGTAAGCAATGTGAGGAGGATTTTAAGTTCACAAAATGTCAAAGAGTAGGACAAACATACTGCATAGAAACTCGTTTCCAATGTGGGAAAACTTTCACATTGTCCCTGTAAAAGACATGAAAAATCATATACTGTAGAAATGCTCTATTTGTAAGCAAGGTGTGAATTAATCAATACACTGAGATACTGTCAAATTCATGAAAGAAATTGCATTTGGGAAAAATACTGTAAATAAGGAAAACCCTTGCTGCAGTAAGCATTGTGCACATTTTAAAAGGTGAATAAAAGGACTCAATATATAAAATAACATCTTGATGTGAATGAGATGAGACTCTTGTAAACGGAAAAACTTACAGTCCACACAGATATCATTACGTGCATGAACATTCATGAAGAAAATCAGAACGTGGTGGGGAATGTGGGGTTGTTTTCCTCTCCATTTAAATACCTGAAAGAACTTCCACCAAAGAGAAGAAGCTTCTGTAAATAGTATGAGAGCATTTTGTAATGCCCATAACATCAGAAAATGTAAATAGAGAATATGTGAAATCTTTATTTTTATATGACTTCATGACACGTGGCATTGCACAGTGGAGAAATTCATATCAATGCATTACATGGGAGCACTTGTAGTCATGCTGGTTTAATTCATATTGCAAAGAAACAGTATTGTGACGAACCATTAATATGAGGTATATATGCAAATTATCAGTTGTCCTGCCTTAAAGAACGAGTGTATGAAACACTTGAGAATGTACGCAGTTCTGTTGTGTAACTAATTTCCAAATCCTTTGATCACTTCACATGTCGTTGAAACCTCAAAAATGAGTGGTATAAAGATTAGATGTCAAATATTTCTCCAGAAAATACACAACCAGAGGAAATGTCCCAAACTGTGTGCATGTAGGTTTGTAGGTATGTATAATATATATACATACATATCAATTCTAAAGTAGATCTCTGGATCAAATAATTTTAAGTTCACTTTTCAGCATAAACGTGCTCACAATTCTGTACATTTTTGTAAGAAATAGCATGGGAGGTTAATTTGTATCTTAGATGACAGCTTTTTTATTTTACCCTCTCTTAGATTCATAAGTGTAATGACTTGTATTTCTTACATCCAATAGGCTCAGTAGATTATTTGCATTTACTTTTGCTTTTAGTGATTGTGGGGTAATAATGACACCAAAACTAAATTCTCCTTAATAGTTGATATTTTTCCACTAGCTTGTTTTTAAACTCTGCTGTATACATTTCATTGTTCTAGTAAGAATTTTGTAATTGCATGTCATATTTTATGATTTTATTATTTAACTACATGTGCTCAAGAATTAATCTGTTTGCTGGGTGTGGTGGCTCACGCCTGTAATCCCAGCGCTTAGGAGGCTGAGGCAGGAGGTTCCTGTGAGTTCGAGACCAGCCTGGGCTACATAATGAGTTCCAGGTCAGTCTCAACTACATAGTGAGACCCTGTCTCAAAAAACAAACAACAAACAAACAAACAAAAAAGCATCTGTTTTGAAAAAATGGGTCAATTAACAAGTCATGTGTTGAATATTCTAAGATATCTATATCCCAACATAATTACAGATTTTTTTGCCTGCCTGTTTTTTCTCTGTATCAGAGCCATTATTGTGTTTAGTATCAGTTGTTTATCATTAAATTTTAATTTTCATGCTCATACTGCCATGATTTATTTTTGTGGCAATTTTTTCATCTGCTATGCCAAAAATATCTATTTTTGTGAGTCTTCCATTGCCAAAGGCCAGTAGGATCATACTTTTATTTATTTATTTATTTTTGGTTTTTTGAGACAGGGTCTCACTATGTAGTTGAGACTGACCTGGAACTCACTATGTAGCCCGGACAGGTCTCGAACTCACAGGAACCTCCTGCCTCAGCCTCCTAAGTGCTGGGATTACAGGGGTGTACCACCAGGCCCAGCTAAGAAACATACATTTTTTTTCCAGGAATATACAATGAATTATGAAAATATATCCATAAGATATGAATGATATGATTTGATAGCACGTACATTCTCAGAAGAATTCTTGACAGTGTTGAAGTTTGTTTTGACAGAATGATTTCTATACTTTGTAGTGAAGCAGAGTCTTTATTTTGTTAATGCTGTGGAGAATATTTGTGCTTTGGAAATCAATTTCTTTAACCTGGTTGCTCAAATCAGTAAAAAAAAAAAAAAAATAGAGTGACTTCTGGGATTCATTTGTATTTCATCATCTTTAGAGAGGAGCTTATAGTGCTTTTTTACTCATTAATAAGTACCACTCTTTACGATTGAAGGAAGTGATATTACTTCCACTGAGTAAGACTTGGGCAAGCTGTCAGTGTCGTCTTGTCTGTCATCCTTGTCTTATGTTTCCTTCTGATTTCCTAATACTGCAGTGCTTTGTTAAATATTCTGCATTATTTTTTCCTTAAATTCAGTAGCTCCTCACATTACTATGGGGTCACATTCCAATAATGCAAGGTCAAAGCCTTCGTGACAAATCCATTAAGTAATCCTAATATTTTGAATAGTGTATCTGATCCTAAGCAAAGTTAATTATGCTTAGACAAATTAACCATCAGGTGGGCAATGTTATAAAACTATATCTTGTTTACTTATTTTGCCTTGACAGGGTTCTTACCATGTAGCCCAGGCTAGTCTCTCTCAGCAGTCCTCAGTCTCCCAAGTGCGGTCGTTACAGGCAGTCACCACCACACCTGCTAAAATATTCTGTCTATTTTATAATGAAGTATTAAATGTCTCATTTGCTCCATGAACACATTGCAGAATGGAGTATTAACTTTTACATGCTTGAACATGAAGCTAACTTTACTGCAGCCCATTTCTAATTCTTATCGTCAGGAATGTGTAGTGCATACTGCTATTAGAGATCATTTTATCCTGAGCACGTTTATGTCCTACCAACTTAGTGTGAAAAAAATCTTGCTGTTGCCAGTGGTTTGTGTCTGTAACCCATGCACTCAGGAAACACGGGTGAACTGCATGACTAAAACCAACCTGTCCAACTCGGTCACACTTGTGTCAAAGTCAAATATGAAAAGCTGCAGATGCAGCTCAGTGCATTAATAATCACAGGTAAACCTGTGTTTTATCTGCCAAGCATACTGGCACACACCTGTAATCCTAGCATATGGAAGGCTGAGGCATTAGGATTGCCAAGTCACTACTTATATGATTACACAATTGTTACATTTCATTATTCTCTCAAGTTTTTCCTTCAATCTTACAAAGAAAATTTAAGCACAGAGGACGTTAGTCTTTACCAAAGCCGCAAACCTCATAGTGATCATTTCTCCCATGGTGATGGGCACACGTTGGCATGGGTCTTCCCCACGTCACAGGCATGAAGTTCAAATGTGCAGCATCTGATGAATGATTGTGTGCATCTTAGAGACAGTGAAGTCAACAATGCCAGTAAGTCTACTGTGTACTAGCCTATGAAGTATTCCTATGCAAATAGAATGAAAATTACTGCATGTATATTATCAATTCATAGGGCGATAGAGCTAGAAATCAATGTCAAAATGTGTAGAAACTATACAAACACATGGAAACTCAAGAATACTATCTTCCATAAATGAGTCTCAGAGGAAAGTAAAGAAAACATTAGACAAATTATAATAGCAATACAGCATAAGAGAACCAGTAGGACACAGTGAAATTGTGTGAAATTGGCCAAAACAATTGGTGAATGCCCACATTAAAAAAAGTAAGCTCACATAAATAACCTAATGATGCATGTCAACTGCTTGGAAAAATGAGAAATCCAAATCCAAAGCTCTGATGAGAAAGGAAATGTAAAGAAAGAAAAGAATAAACAGATTAACTGAATCAAAGAGCTGTCTGTTTGAAAGAATAAGCAAAATGGATAATGTCTTAGCCAGTCTTACACAAATAAGGAAAGTGACCCTAATCCATGCAATTAAAAATGAAAAACGGAAAAAAATAAAAATGAAAAAAAATTCAATGAATTTGTAAATACATTAACATGAGTATTTCATGGCTATAAATGTCTACATCAGAAAAAGAGAATGTATCTTTGAAAATAACACCGTGATGCACGTCAGGGTTCTATAAAACAAAATAATCTACATCCAAATTGTAAGGAAGAAAATTAGTTTTTGTTTTTGTGTTTGGTTTTTTTTGGGGGGGGGTACCAGGGATCAAACTTGGGCCCTTGCACTTGTGAGGCAGATGCCAGATCCACTGAGCTAAATCCCTGGCCCTTTTGTTTCTTTTTTTAAAATAAATTTTATGCCATTCCCCCCCATCAACCTCCCTCCTATCCCTTTGTACAAAAGCTATGTTAAGGCACAAAATTATTAAGATTACAAGAGATAAGAATAAAATTCTGACTAAGAAAACAACATAAAATATTGTACATTTATCTTAGTAAACAAAAAGGCTTTGACAAAATCCAAA